TTTGTGTCTCTTACTTCGGACATTATGTCAGGAGGGACCAGTTACTGGAGAAGGATATCATGTTTGGTAAGGTGGAGGGTCAGAGAAAAAGAGGAAGACCCCCAGCAAGATGGATTGGCAAAGTGGCAGCAACCGTGGACTCAAACATGGCAACAATTGTGAGGTTGGCCCAGGATCGGGCAGTGTTTTGTTCTGTTGTACATAGGGTTGCTATGAGTCGGTACCGACTCAATGGCACCTAACAACAACAACAAAGATTTAAAGTCTTGGAAACCATGTACAGGGTCGCTATGAGTCAGAACCAACTCCACGACACATAACCATCACCACTGTTATACTGGTTGTTGTTTCTGGCTTCTCCTCTAACTTGTGAATTTCACTAGTGTGGGACACTTCTCTGCTTCGTTCTTGGGCACCTGACACATAGTTATACATCCAGTAAATCTTTGTTGAAGAAGTAAATCTTGTAATCCTTTATATGTTGCTTTCTCCCTGTCCTCAACTCCTGCCCCACTTATACAGAATTGGCCACACTTTTTCCCTTACTGGGCATCTTGCAAGGGTGAATCAAAAATTATCTGCACTCTGGCTGTAGAATTTCAAGCTGATGGTGACTTTTTAAACTTTTCTTCGTTGGCGACTGATGATGTTTTCATTCCATATTCTGCCATTTACACTCAGGAAACCGACCAAGAATAAGTTCAAAGTCAACCATCAGTTGGAAAATTGACACTTTACAGTATTCTGGGTTTCTCAAGGGCCAGTATTGGACCACTATCAGGGAAAAGGTTCAACAGTGAACAGCGCTCATTACAGTGACATGCTCACTGACGAGCTGAAGCCTAAACTTCTAATGCAATGCAGAGGATTGCTATCCAAGGACACTGTGATCTTGCATGACAATGCACATCTCTGCCTACGCTCTTGACACTCTGCAAAAACTTCGTTATGAGGTGCTAAATCATCCTCCCTATAGTCCTGATCTTGCTCCATTGGACTTTCACCTCTTTGGTCCCCAGAAAGCAGCCCTTTGAGGATAAAGATTCACTTCTGATGAAGAAGTGAAGACAGCAGTACATTCGTGCTCTCAGCTCAGCCTAAGACATTTTTTAGTAAGGGAGGAGAGACGTCATGCTAGTTCTGACTCCTAGCAACCTTGTATCGTTGTACATTTTCACTGCCAGTATTTAAGTGCCCGCTTCTCCACATCCTCACCCAAATTAGAGCAACCCTGGAATCCCTGGGTAGAGCAAACAGTTTGACTACTCACCCAAAGATTCCGAGGTGCCTCAGAAGTTATGCCTGGCGATCTTTTTTTTTTTTTTTTTTAATGTTTTTAATGTGAATTATGTGATAGTTTACATGGAAGAACATTAGTTTTACATTCATCCTATTCTATATTGTTTCATTGCCATGGTTTCAATCCCCTCCATGCATCATCAACCAACCAAAGGGTATACCCTGCAAGCCTGCCCCCAGGTCATCACCACACAACCCCTCTCCTTCTCTGGGTTTAAAGTCCCCATCTGCTCCATTTCTCCACGTCATCTTCTCTACCTCCATCTCTGGCGTCGCTGTTTCTCTGGTAGGGTCCCACTCTCCGCTCTTCTCCCTTGATGGTCCCAGGGACCTCCGCTCCTAGACTGAAAAGTTAATCACTCCCCTCCTTGCTACAAAATGTCTACGTTTACATTTCCAACCCGGACAATCAGTTCTGGTAACAATTATTCACTATTGTATCACAAGAGACCTATCTACATTTCCTTTCATCGCCCATGCCTGGCAATTTTGAAAGCCCTAGGGAGCAGTTTAACTCTGCATACATGTTTTGGAATGGAGTCCTCAGGAGTTAGAATGAACTAGACATCAACAACAAAGAGGATGTGTAAGATTCCTGGGTAGTGCGATTTGTGCTTAATAACGAGCCTAAAGGTTGGAAATTGAAAGCCACTTAGCAGCACCATGGAAGAATGACTTGACACTCTGCGTCCACAAAGATTACAGAAACTCAATGGGCAGCTTTACTCTGCAATATGTGGGCTCACCGTTGATTGAAATCAAATTAAATCAGTGGCAACAAGTTTGGTATTTTACTGATTTTTTTTTCAACTCTCTGGCTTGCCTTTTCTTTATTTTAAGTTTTTATTGTGAGCTGAGTGATAGTTTACATAGGAGAACATTGGTTTTACACTCAT